GTCTACAGAAGACTTCTGTGTGGGCTGGAATAATAAAACATAGAACTGCAGGACCGTTTTTCTTCGATGATACTATATCAATGAAATATGATACTAGCATTTTCTCAGCACAAACTAATTCCAGTGCAATGCAATTAACTTCCAAATCCCTGGAACCCCAACTTGACCGACAAGGAGCTGTAGTTACAGCAGGATTGGATTCCGTTGCACTACGCTGCTATCATATGGCTAGTTTTTTGGTAGGTTGATTGAAAAAAATCACTATTAAGTGGCCAGCAAGGTCTCCAGATCTGACACTATTGGATGTTTTTTTCATGGGAACATATTACAAGTGAGGTTCACATTCAAAAACCGAAAAATATTGAAAACCAGTAGAAAAGCATAAAAGAGGAAATCAGTAGGATAACACCGAAAATATTGCATAATGTTAAAGATGAAACCTATCACATACTGATATGGTGCGAACGAGTGGATACTACACATTTAGGGTAATTTCTACAATGAGAAAACAAGAATAAACTTTGAAATCATGTTCTGATTTTATGCAACCCTCGAACGTACTACAAAATGAAATTTCATTAGTACACTGGATTCATCTTTCTGTCAGCTGTTCAATGAAGAGTTACAAGCCATAGGGTTGCATTTGGAAAATAATATGGTGAGGGTGATTCAAGTTACGTTTGAATGAGTATTTTCTTCATATTGCTTTCAAAATGTAGATATATTCAAAAGTCTCCTAGCAGATCTATCCGATTGCTTCAACGTAGCTATTTGTATTGGGTGTTAAAATGCCTGAGTGGGAATCAATAGAATGGATAAGAATATTTCATATATGTCTCCTTGTTCTGTTTTGAAGAAATCGGATTGTATTAATCAGTAGCGTCCCAATAAAAAATGAGAATCTATGAGACATGACTTGAAGGAATAACATCCATAGGGTTGCATTAGAAAAACGAGTTGGGGGTTGGATGGTTTCAGTTATATTTGAAGGAATATTTCATTCATATCGTTTGCGAAATGTAGATATACAGAGTGTCCCATAAGTCATAGATCAAATGAAGTCGATATTCAATTATTGATGGTTCAAAAGTTATTAAATTTTTTTCATTTCTGAGTATGTCACATTTGTAATTTTTTTCTTTCACAAATACTATCCGCATGGAAGCACCTTTTCCACGAAACGATTTTTATGACCTGTGGTACTTTCTATCAATCAAGAAAAATGTTCTCCTTGAGTTTTGTTGAATCAAATAATTTAGTTGATATTTTAAAACCGCTGGCAGATTTGGAAAATACCCCAGAATGATGATCAACTATCAGAAAAGGTTGCCCATTTAATACAGACTCCGAAATGGTATAACATATGGGGTTATTCAAAACAGCCCTTTTCTCATTAATTTTTTGAATGGGTCGCGTTTGTCAGAAAAATTTTATTACTTGAACCATCAACAATTGGATGACCACAAGTACGGTTAGTTTGATTGGAAATCATTCTCCCTACCACCCCACTTCTTTTGATCCATCACTTATGGGACACCCTGTATACATTGAAACCTAGACGTCTCTCGGAAATTTTGAAAAATCCAATTTACTCTTGCTTGCTAGCAAAGGACCCCGCACGAAAACACGGTAAATTTGCTCTTGGTCGAATTGGCTGAAATTTTACTATGTTATTGTGGGATCCCAGCAAACATTGAACTAGCGGGAGAAGTCCGGCCTAGTGCAGGTTAGTCTGGGAAAGTGACGATGTCGGGGTATAGGTAACGGGCCGATGATTTTCCCATGCCAAGTAACCATCAGTTGAAAATACTATGATGGCCTTGTGATGGTAAGATGTCTGTAACTAATTGAATACTAACGAGATCTGGCCCTTTGCTGGCCAATTTCATATTCACTACCCGTCCCCCTGGCGGATGTTTTGGGAACGTCTACATCAACAATCAGCTGATCAATATCATATGTGACTAAGATGGCTGACTCTCGTGAGTGGTGATCGCGTACTAGTTTGTTTATGTCGAATTGATGTGGTCCTCTCTTTCCGTGGTGGTTATTTATGATGGCAGGAGTATTCTCAGTTGATAATAATAGAAGACAGATTCTTCAATTACGATAATATTGAGTAAGTATCAATGTACCTACATAGTGTCTTGAATGTCATTATTTGATGCATGTGTTTGATATCTCGTAACCTTATATACCTAATGATTATGATAATTGGAGTTAAGAGTTAACTATACTTCTCTAAAAGCAATCATTTTTAAATCGTTTGTTGCTATCAAAAGCAATCTCAGGTTATGTGAACCTATCTCTATATTGAATAACTGAATAACAATAAGATTTCAGGTACAGAATTACCTGTGCCAACACCATAATAAGAATTGAAAAGCTCCATGTTATCACACGTCATTTGACTATATTATCAAGTTATAAACTCATGCAACTCATATACCACTAATATAAAACAAATGATGCATTTTATATTTCAGAAGTACCTCACAACGAAGAATCAACTTCGAAGGAATGCTACCGAATAAGATGTAGATACCACACACCAACCAGTAAGCAGTCACTCCGAGAAGATTCATCGTTGAAGAACAGAGAGGTTAAGAAGATATCATTGTGTCATTCTTAAAATTGTTTTCTTGAAATCTGGTATGTGTCTGATTTATGATGAGACGGTTATGTTGTGAAATAAAGAGGTACTAGAACTTTCAGATCCATTGGAACCCTAAAACCCCTACCCCTCCCCTACCTCGATAGTATGTAACCAATGTCGTTAATTGGCCATTACAGTCCCATCATTTATGTATATGCTGGGCTTGCTATGGGAATCTCATTGTGTCGATTATGTTGTACTGGCCTTTTGCCGGGGAACTGAATATGATTGCTGGGTACCCAGCACTGGGACCAGCTGCCGGCCGCAGTGTACTGATATATAGAGTCCCGCATATGGGACCATTTACTGGGCCGCCGATGTCAGGTATGGGAAAAATATACTAGGCCATTGATGCCACATATCAAGATGTTTGCTGGGATGGCTCATCAGAAAAATATGTGAGTTTAAAAAGTTTTGTATGTTTGGTTTCTGATATATAAGCCGACAAAGTTCGTAAAAACGTCGTATTGGGGTAGGATTGACAAAGAAAAAAAACTGTCTAGTTATAATCACATGAATTATAGTAAATCAGGGTGTATACGAGGCACGATCAAAAAATTCATTTTTCGGAAAAAAATTCGAGCACTATTCCAAAACCAACAAGTTATATTTTGGTGGGATATTATTGTATTAGTCTATTGTAGGCTTCGTAAACGTATTTTGATTCTCGATAACTATCTCTGTTCGAAATATGAATTTTTAGAATTTTGTGTTATACCCCTTTTTGAAAACAATTGACAGCTTGTTCTTGATCACAAAAAAAGGGATTGATTGATGCTGTTGATTGAATGAAAGCTGAGGTAACTCACTAGCGAAGTCAGTTGTTCAATATTGCCTTTCATTTAGATACAGGGTGTGTTAGATTTTGTTGAAGATTATTTAACATGTTTCAATTGAATATCTTGAAAACAGTTCCGTTAATTCGGATCTCATTTTACTCACACCATTTTGAATATGTTGACTATCATATGCAAAAAGTTTTCCAACTTTTTATGTTTCGTTTCTGAGATATCAGTTTTTGATAGTTATATCCGAGATAATAACCCTATAATACCTGTAATACTGTAAACTCAAAAATGCATATCTCAGAAAGGAAACATAAAAAATTGAAAAACTTTTTGCATATGATAGCCAACATATTCAAAATAGTGTGAGTTAAATGAGATCCAAATTGACGGAACTGTTTTCGATGTATTCAATTGAAACATTTTAAATAATTTCCAACAAAATCTAACACACCTTGTATCTTAATAAAAAGCAATATTGAACAACTGAATTCGCTAGTGAGTTATCTCAGCTTTCATTCAATCAACAGTATAAATCAATCCCTTTTTTGTGATCAAAAACAAGCTGTCAATTGTTTTCCAAAAGGGGTATGACACAAAATTCAAAGAATTCATATTTCGAACAGAGATAGTTATCAAGAATCAAAATACGTTTTCGAAGCCTACAATAGACTAAAACTGAAATGTCTCATCAAAATATAACTTGGTGGTTTTGTAATAATGCTCGAATTTTTTTTTCCCGAAAAATGAATTTTTTGACCGTGCCTCGTATTTACCCTGATTTACTATAGTTTATGTGATCATAACTAGACATGTATTTCAGTTCCGATCAACACATTCTCTAGCTTATTTTGTCTTATTCATACTAATGAAACAGTTTTTTTCTTCGTCAATCCTACCCCGATACGACGTTCTTACGAACTTTGTCGGCTTATATCGCAGAAACTAAACATACTAAACTGGTCAAACTCACATATTTTTCTAATGAGCCATCCCACAATAACATAGTAAAATTTCAGCCAATTCGACCGAGAGCCAATTTACCGTGTTTTCGTGCGGGGTCCTTTATTCCAGTTGAAGTATCCACCCTGTAGTAAATGACAGTGGATACACATGATATGCTTGACATATCCCAGTAAGATATTGACATCTGAAATATTCAGAATATGATTGAAATTGAAGTATTCCTCGGTCATAGAAAAACGTTCATCAACTTGCAATTTTAACGTTCAAGTTTGTGCATAAACAATTCGTACAAGGTTTTTGTATGATGTTCCAGATTCCATTTAGATGTAGTACACGTCGTTCACATTTGCGCGTTACTGCTACTATTTGTCAAAGTCGATAAGAAGATGATTCAAAATTCAGAAGTACAGCCTGTAACTGCTGTTCGATTTGTTTATGCACACAAATGTAATCAGTATAATGAATTTGGTCAATCGATGTAATCCCTACTAGCCTACCAGTAGAGTTGTTGGTTTCGTTCGAGACGATTGCGGATGCTTAATCCTCGAAACGTGATGATTTAATGAGCGTTATGTGTGTGCGCCCCTCCTCAGGCCACCATGTTGAAGAAGTTGAAGGGGAAGATGAAGAGGCGCAACACCGAACCCTCCATGCTGGTGTCTCCCGGCGTCCAGCTGGTTCCTTTGCCCTCTAACGATGGCGGGGATTCACCAACGGATCCCAACAACACCACGTTTTAATCGAAAAAATGCGCGTGTTTTTGCCATGGAAAGAGGAACGTATGGTGTGCTATTCATAGGGTGACCAGATAAGGGAAATAAAAAAGAGTACATTCAGAGGCGATTTTTTTCTTCATTATTCAAGGTCAAATTCCTTCAAATCGAAATTTAGAATTCCTTCTATATTCTAAACACCTGCCTATTTTTACCGATATATTGAGTCAAAGAATGAATTCAAAAATGTGTACACCGATTGATATAAATCATCTCATTACAAATACAACAAGATACGGACTACAGAGCCATAGATAGAGCAGAAAGCACAAAAAGATATAGAGTACGAGGACAGCCTTGGAAAAGAGTACTTGAACTATTAAAAGAGTACGTATGGCCAACATATAGCTATTCACTATGCCGAAAATGTTGCTTTTATCAGACTTACCGGTAGTGACAGTTTCTTTGCAACGTTTTTTTTAATGTATGCAACTTCCATATGATGAATTTTATGAGTTTTCAACATGTCCTAGACAATTATCAATTTGTGATAACGGCGTCACCAATCAAATCATAATTCGCATTGAAAATTGATGATTTTTGCACGATAAGAAAATGCATGAAAATTGGTTCTTGTTGAGATTTGAAAATAATGATACTACGGAAAAAAATTGCATACGCCGCCCTCATGTAGGAAGACCCGAACATAATAGAACATGTATTGAAGAGTGGTCTATTTTTAAAAAGTTAAATAACTCATGCAGACTTACTTTTGGTGTTACTTTCATCATGATGAGGTACTTTGCATACAATTGTGTCGTGCACATGCCCTGTAGTGATTTTTCAAACATGCACTGTTTTTGTAAACACAATAATAAAAGTGCATTTATCAAAAATTACCATAGCGCATGTGCATACGACGATTGTATGCATAGTAGTTTATTGTGATACAAGTTACACCAAGAATTAATCTGCGGAAAAGCAGACGTTGAATAATTGTTCGAAAGTACCCCCCTCTCCATTACATGTTGAGTAAATAGTTTCAGGTGTTTCTTCATTAGGGCAGAGTATGCAGATTTTTTCCGCGGTATAATCTTTTTCAAATATTAACATAAACCAATCTGCAAGCATTTACTAATCGTTCAAAATCATTTATTTATTCGTTCTCAAATTAATAATGTCTAGGAAATGTTGAAATCCATGAAAATCTTCACATTGAAAGAACGTTGCAAAAAAACTGTTACTAATGGCCAGTCTACGCATATAAGAGTATAGTAATGTCTTGTACATTATCTCATAAGTTCCAAATAAGAAAGAAGATTCAAGCACAAGTATGATTCAAATTTTGAATTGTTCCCTATCTTTGAACTAAAAATGCACAAACATCGTTAATAATGAATGTCATCACTCACTCCTATAAATTTTTTGTTCGTACAGATGAACAAATGGAATTCGGTGTGTAAGTATAGCAATCAGATAAGTATGCATTTTTCGACGTATTCAATTGTTTTATGTCACTTCAGGTTTGACCGGAAATGGCCCTCACTTTCTTATTTCAAATGGAACACCTGGTATATTTTAACTGATTTCAATAAAAAATCACAATGTGGGTACAATAGAACCCCATTCGTCACTTTTTGATATTCATCACATTTTCAATTTAGAGTGTCATTAGAAGTTGAGTATTTTATTTGAAGTTTATGTCAAATATGGATTGTTTGGTATCAAATTGTTCGTAACAAAATGTCCTTATCAAATATGAACTCCGAACTTCGCATGAACCTGTAAAAGAAATCGAAAATGAAACTTTGTGAAACCTATTTTTCCCTGGCTACTTGATCCAAAAGTGACCGTTTCAACATTTTCATGGCACTGTAGATTCGAAATCAGGAAATGGAAATTTCAGGTTGATGACTGTCAAGAAGTGACAAACGGGATGTCATTGTACTGACAATGTTTTTTTATCGAAATAAGTGGAACTAAACCAAGTGTTCCATTTGAAATGAGGAAGTGAATGTCATTTCTGATCAAACATGAAGTGGCAATGAACAGTTGAATACGTAGTGAAAAATAGCATATTCATGTACTCCACTTTGACACCGAATTTCATTTGTTTATCTGCAGAATCAATAAAGTTATAGGGGTGAGCCACTCTTGTGAAACATTCGGTATTTTATTGAAGTTCAACAAATGGTGCCCTAGTCAGTGAGGAAAATGATTATATAGTATCGACACAATCTAGGAGGAATTACCTGACAAGGTTTTTGAAGTTCGAATAATAACCTCAAGGAAATGTGAAATAAAACCAAGATGAAAGCATTTGATATACACCATACGTTCGCCTTTGCTATGTCCCCCAAGTTTTCTCAAAATATCTCCTTTTAGTATACTCCTGTGTTTTCCTTAGAGACTTTACACAGCCAAAGGGCACGGGTGTGATTCGTTTTAATTTTAGTTGAGATTTTAAGTAACAATTTATGTAATGTAATGATTATTACGTTATGGTATGGTATTTTTTACCAATGTTCTGGTAAACACAAAACTAGTAAGGTTTATTTAATTCTAAATAGTTCTGTTCGAGTACAAGTAATGTACGTAATGTTAAGTTTCCAAGAAATGATTTATAAGCACAGCGAAAACTGCTGAGAGAAGCGTCAACAGTCGAATTCCAGATAATTCAAAATCAAACCTTGCTTCTGTCGAAATGAATCTGCGTAGACAGTTGACGTTCTCCGGTGTTTCGCTGTACCTGAAGCTCATCCAAACAAAAAAAAAGAATCAAACGACAAGTAAGTGCCGCCCCCACATCATAGCAGGCACCAAACGCGAGCATCACTCGCCTTGAAATACTTCGACAACCACACAAGAAGTTGGAGCACCATCTGAACCAAACGCACCAGATGATACAGATCAGCGGAGCCTTTGGGGCTCTACTACCGAGCAAGCAACACCGACAAGAGTGAGAGTGATAGTGATTTCGCATCGTCAGAACTACCATAGTGTAGACGAGTGTAGTGTAGTGCGCATGGTCCAAGAGTAATCAGCTGTACCTGTTCAGGATATAGCTCTGTGACGTCAGAGCTATCCTCACAGATACAGTTGAAAGTTCTTGTGTATGATCGATCGGCAGGAGTGTTTCCCAAAGTCGATCGCGATCGAAAGTAGGCTACGCAATCTTAGTAACCCTTCCGCAGAGTTTGAAGCCACCCAGGTGGCAGGAGAGTCGTAGTAGGCTGAGGGTTGGTGGAGTGGTTTCGGCGCTGGTTGCTACGGAGCATAGACGCTGGGTAATGGTTGGTTTTGGTGGTGTGCAACTACGAAGCATGCCCTTCTGATGTTCCAGCTGAGGCTGACATCTCGAAGCATTTTCGGAAACTGTAGCAAAAAACTTTTTCAGATCAATGTTTGAAGGATGATTTTCAATCTGAGAAATAATTTTTGGAAATCAGATTGGGTCTGGTGATTTCTATCCTAAACTCATTCCAGTTGTGGTGTGTCCTTTGTTACATTCCAAATCATAAACGTTTCAGATGTTTGTTGGTTTGAGGGCTAAAAGTTCATCAATTCTCCAAGCATCTTCCATACTCTCCTAGCTATTCCATCCTATTGCTTCAGTGTAGTCATTCAAGGTTCAACCCATCTAAATGAGAATCAATAAATTAAATGAGAATATTTCATACCTTCAACTTCTTGTTTTGCTTTGGAGAAGTCGGTTATCCATATATTTTCAATCAGTTATAATTGATCAATGGAATCCTAATGAGAAATTGGGATCAAGGAGATATGACTTGCAAAATAACACCCATTTCAGCTCCATATCGATACTAGCATTGTCACTAAATTCACCCGTATATCTAAAACTAGTTTTTTTTTTTTCATCAATAAGACAATCTATTGCATATTTCCATTTGCTCCTGCGATTCTTATAGTTAATCACCAGAGATTTTACTTAAAATGGAGGATATAATTAGATATTTTGATGAAATGTATCAGCTGAATTAGAGAACATTAACTTCGAGAGAATGAGGAAGGTACAGATGAGAATTGGGGAATAAAAGTGTTATCCTTTTTTATTTATGCTTTCAGAACCCATCTGATGAAACCTCTGACTGAATGCTTCTATCTTGATTTTACATAACCTCTAACCCAATGATGAATTATATAATGGAGAAAACAATTGGAACAGGGAGTACCCAGGACTGTGAAGAGTAGAATAAACACCTGATGGTAATTTTATTCAAAGAAAACTGAAGGGATTTATTCAAATAATTGTTATCGCTTAGACTGAAAAGTATCCTTGTAGCGATGGTTATGAAACCCTCTTTTTTGCCAACAGTTCTGAAAAATTGCTACGAATAGGTAGCTCTAGGTGGACATTGAGAAATAAATGTTTCGAAGTCTGACGCTACCAAAAACCACCTATTTTCCAGCTTCTAGGGCTCCTTGGTTATCTAGTATCTGAAACAACGTCACTGGCTGTTGGTCTACGAAGCCTGTTCTGGTCGCTGCATCGTTTCCAGACAACTTTCCGTACGTAGTCGGTCACGAATCATGAAATTCATCCCTATAATCTCTCAGAATTGAACGCTCGCGACCGTTTATAACCTAGAAAGCTCTCCGAAGACGATCAGGGGACAGAACCAGGCGGCATACAAACATTTAGAGGTGTTTGACTTCGCTCTCCAGGAAGCGACGTCGAACGCCGTCGTTAATCTGGCTCGGCGCTAGGGGCTCAATTCTTCACAGACGCCGTCTGGAGCCGAATCTCGTGAAGGAAGCGCCGTTGCCAGATTTACGCGCCAGCAGGTTGTGCCCCTAGTTTAGATATCTTACTTAAATCGATGTGGCTATATTGTTTGTAATTACATTTCCCAGAGTATGTATTCTGGATGGAACCGCCAAGATGATTGTTATGTTTTTTGTCTGTTTCATCCGTGGAAGATGCTTCGGTACCTGCGGTACTGAAGCATTTCGATGCATATAAAATATATGTATATGTGATTGAATAGATATATTACAAATTGTGAAATATAGAAATATTAAATGTATTCGAGTTTTCATTCACATCTGCCATAGGGCTATTCAGGATTTTCCGTAGGTAAAAAAACAGAAAGAGAATTAAAATTGCTTGAATTTTGAGGAAAAACCCGTATGTCACATGGTTTCGATGTTAGAAGTTTCAGAAAATTGTTATCATTCTAAAGAAAATCTCAAAGTTCCTTTCTACTTTGAATATATTCTAGTGTACCTACCAATTATTATGAAATAAAAATGCAACGATAGTTTTTTGCAATTTTTCAAGTAAAAATTTGACTATATTGAAAATTATGTCTAATCAAGCTATATATATATAGATAATTCGACGTTGCTTGAACCTACATTGGAATGCGGTAGCTCTTCCTTGAACTGAAAGAATATACAGGACGCTTCATCAAACATGATACAATCCTCAAGTGCTACTCAAAGTTGCATGACATTATTTTTGATATGATTTACTCACACAACTTTTCACAAGTAATGTATTTCTTGTGATAGATAGGAGCATTAGGAACAAGAAAATTGCATTTTCTAGATCAATTAATATTTTCCTTTTGTTCTCATATGGGAATTATAAGGTGTGGGGCATTAAATAAAATAGGTTGAACATGCCAAATAGATTCACATTTAGATAACACATTTCAAAAAGCTTTTCCTATCTCATTGAGTCAAATTTGGTGCCAAAATGAAGTTATCGTAATAGACCGGGAGCCCACAACGTGTTTTTTGTGTGTCATTCGTTCCCACTCAGCAGTATGAGAACCCTCAAAATCCCACCTTCCACTATATACACGGATATGAGAGGTTCATTCGGGTTGGAACAATTACTGTTCTAGAACTGTCAGGAGGTTGCGCAGTAGAATCGATCGCGTTCGGGTTTTGTGGAACTGTTCTAGGAATACTCTTTACGCGTTCGGGTTTTTTGAGAATCGTCCTGGGACGGTCCTAAAAACTATCCGAAACCGGTACCTGCTCTCGAGCATGAACCGTTCAAGGATTATTTTTGG